AATCTCTTGTTGAGCTCCTCACATACCTCTTGATCGCTTCATGTGAGTTCCCCACCTTCTTTCCTCAGCCTGATCACCTGGTCTTTGACTGTTGTCTTGATCACCTGGTCTTTGACTGTTGTCTTTCTCCTAATGTGGCTATACAGCAGTTTCGGGTCAGACTTGACTTTTGATGCTATGTCATTTTCATACTGTCGCTGGGCCTCCCTCCTTATCTGTGCATACTTGTTTCTGGCTCTTCAACTGGTCTCTTTATTTTCCTGGGTCCTTTGCCTTCTGTACCTCTTCCATTCTCTAATGCACTTAGTTTTTGCCTCCCTACACTTTCGGGTAAACCAAGGACTCGCTTTGGTCTTCCCATTAATTCTGTTGCCCTTGGGAACAAACCTTTCCTCTGCCTCCTTGCATTTTGTTGTTACATATTCTATCATTTCATTTACTGACTTTCCTACCAGTTCTCTGTCCATGTGGAGGGCAAACAGTAAGGCATGGGTCACTAGGGATATTTCTTTATGATTGGTTTTATCATGTGTTTGGCTCCACTGTGAAAAATTACCTCCTGGAAAATAAATTGGACCTCAAGTGCCTCCTGGTATTAGACAGTGCTCCTGCTCATCCTTCAGACTTGCCAGAGCGAATTGCAGGGGACCTGAGTTTTATCAAAGTCAAGTTCTTGCCTCCTAATACCACTCTTCTCCTCTAGCCTATGGACCAGCAGGTCATTTCAAATTTCAAAAAAACTGTACGCCAGTGTTTCAAAAGTGTTTTGAAGTGACTTCAGACACAGAGAGAGTTTTGGAAAGATCACTTTAGTATCCTCAGTTGCATAAACCTTATAGGTAAGGCTTGGGAGGGAGTGACTAACAGGACCTTGAATTCTGCTTGGAGGAAATTGTGGCCACAATGTGTACAAGAGAGGGATTTTGAAGGGTTTGGAGCTAACCCTGAGGAGCCTATGCCAGTTGTGGAATCTATTGTGGAATTGGGGAAGTCCATGGGGTTGGAGGTTAGTGGGGAGGATGTGGAAGAGTTGGTGGAGGATGATGAAGAACTAACCACTGATGAGCTGCAAGAGCATCTGCAACAGCAAGAGACTACAACTGAGGTAATTGCTTCAGAGGAGGGGAGAGAGAGATGGAAGAAGTTGCCTTCTTCAATGATTAAGGAAATTTGTACAATGTGGACAAAGGTGCAAACCTTTATGGATGAAAATCATCCTGACACAGCTATTGCAAGCTGTGCTGGTGACTTTTACAATGACAATGTTGTAGCCCGTTTTAGGAAAATCTTAAAGGAACGCAAAGTACAGAGCTGTATGGACAGACTTTTGGTGCGACAGAGGTCCAGTGACTCTCAAGTTGTTCCCAGTGGCATTAAAAAAATAAGGGAAGTAACCCCAGAAGGGGATTACAATTCCAAACAATAATACACCTCCATCTCCCCTCCTCCCATCTCATCACTCATCACTACATCTTCAATAAAGGTAAGTGTCATTTATTCTTCATTTAGTACAGTATTTATTGTGTATGTATCCTTGTTTTTCTGTGTAGGAAAATGTATATTTCATGTAAAAAAAAAATTTCATACTTTTGGGTGTCTGGAACAGATTAATTCTACAGTGAACCCTCAGCTAACGATATTAATCCGTTCCTGAAAGCTCATCGTATGCTGAAATTATCGTTAGCTGAATTAATTTTCCCCATAAAAAAATGGAAATCAAATTAATCCATGCAAGACACCCCAAAATATGAAAAAAAAAAAAAAAAATTTACCACATGAAATATTAATTTTAATACACACAAACTGACACTTACCTTTATTGAAGATCTGGTGATGATTGATGGGATGGGAGGAGGGGAGAGTGGAAGTTGTTAATGTTTAGAAGGGGAATCCCCTTCCATTAGGACTTGAGGTATCAAGTCCTTTTCCGGGGTTACTTCCCTTCTTCTTTTAATGCCACTAGGACCAGCTTGAGAGTCACTGGACCTCTGTCGCACAACATATCTGTCAATAGAGGCCTGTACCTCCCGTTCCTTTATGATTTGTCTAAAGTGGTTCACAACATTGTCATTGTAATAGTCACCAGCATGGCTTGCAATAGCTGTGTGAGGGTGATTTTCATCCATAAAGGTTTGCACTTCAAGCCACTTTGCACACATTTCCTTAATCTCTTTCTTTATATCCATAGTAATTCTCACCCTTTTTCCTGCAGGGTTGGCACTAGAAGCTTTCTTGGGGCCCATGGTGACTTATTTTGCAGGCACAATCACTAAAAACGCTGTGATAATATGAAGTGTTCCGATTGTATGCGTGGATGCGACCATACAGGCTGGCTTGTAAACACTGGCACCCACGGGACAACTGAGGTGTGCTCAGGCCACACGTGGACGCATCTCGAATGAATTGCGTAGGGCGAGTTTTTTAGCGTTAGCTGAGGCAAAATTTTTGCGTTAAAATGTATCATATGCTAGATTTAACGTAAGGTGAAGCCATCGTTAGCTGAGGGTCCACTGTATTTCCATTATTTCTTATGGGGAAAATTAATTCAGCTAACAATAAATTTGGCTAAGAACAAGCTCACTGGAATGGATTAATATCGTTGATCGAGGGTCCACTGTACGTCCACAACACTGGCTCATAAGACGTATATATATGGCCAAAACAGTCAAAGCGCTAAGATAATAATATACAAGACAAAATAGACTTATTCTTGTTATCTGCAATTCCCTCTAATTTACACTTACACTCACCGAAATGAGTGTAAACATAATATTCCTAATACTGTACAGTACAGCCCCACTTATATGGGAGGTTAGGTTCCAGGCTACTACCTGAAAGCAGACATCGCTGGAAAGCAGAACGCCAGTTTTTTCCACTTATAAATGCATATAAATGCTAGATAACAAGTCTTCACTAACATATATTAAGTTAGCAATAGAACTAGGAATTAAAAACAATAAAAAGCAAAATACACACAGTACACCTATTACTTACCTTAAAATATTTGTAGTCCTAATGTAGGGTGAGGGTGAGTTTTATTTGTAGGAAGTCAGGTCTGGGAGGTATGATAGCCAGCCAGGTCAGCCCACTCCACCCCACCCACACGTAATATGCTACGACATTTAATTAAAGCACTCCAGAGCGATAAAATACATATACAGTACATTCATTAATTACCTTAAAATATTTGTAGTTTTAGTGTAGTGTGAGAGGTAAGTTTTATTTGTAAGAAGTCAGGTGGTAGCCAGCCAAGGCAGCGCTTCCCGCCCCACCCCACTGACACGTAATGTAAACAAACCAGGCAAACGTGTCTGGTTTTTGCCACTTTACATTGTGTACAAGTTGTCTCCACCTTGATACAGTAGAATAAATAAAGAGAAACACTCCCATTCTCCTGTAACACCATTTTTTGAAGAAATGACGCTCTGAGTGAAGGAATACAAAAGGAATAATTTTCTAGTTACCCCCAGTAATATTATAGGGACACATTTCAAGTTGCCTGGCTACCACATCTCATATTTATGTTAATTTATTCTATTGTGGGGTGTATTTATGATGTTTGTGTGTTATGTAGCTTGTTCATTACATAATTTTGAAAAAATATCATAGATGGATTAATGGAAATGTCTATATTAACGTAATACACAACATTTAATGTGCCCATGAGATTACGCATTACATTAAGAGTAGAGAGACTTGTAGTGATTTTAATGTGTACCTGCAAGCCAGCATAGTATGTAAGTATATTTAGGTGTACAGGTACACATAAGTATAATTATCAGAGTACATATAAATATGCAATAACTTTAAAACACTTGAAATTAAGGAAAGTTTCCAGACATAATAGAGAGATGTGCTCATGAAGAATGTAAACAAACTAGTTGGGGGCACACCATATTTGAAAGACTGCTCACCATATAGCAAGTTTTGGTCATAATTTGAAATCGCCGTATTAGCGGAACACTGTAAGGTGAAACGCCATAAAGCAGGGCCCTACTGTATAGCTATTGCCTAATAAATCTTAAGTTAGTCCTAAGTTTGCCTGAACTACCCTCCCAACACAGGAGCTTTTATAGAAAAAGTGTATCATGACAAGATAACACTATTCCCATTACTGAATTTACTAACTGTAATATTTTTATATGTTTTGTACTACTTCACTATCAATCTAATTAATGTTAATCACTTCAGTTACCTAACTTTTATATCAGTATGCAATAATTTATATTAAAAGTGTACTGCTCCATAACCTGTGCCAATACAGAGTAAGAATTAGGATTAGTTTGCCTGAAATACCTAGGCATGCTAGTGGCCTTCTTTGCAATTAATATTTTATAATATGTAAACCACACATTTTAAGCTTCGCAAGGAAATAAACATTTTCATTTTCTTTGTTTTGCACGGAAAAAAATCGCAAGGAAATAAACATTTTCATTTTCTTTGTTTTGCACGGAAAAAAAAAAAAATTGGTCATGGAATTAAATCCTATGGATGATTTTCAATCCAAGGTCATGTGCCTAGACCCCCCCAAAAAATGGCCTTTGTACAAAAACACCTATATTTCTTGAATAATTTGAACAAAACAATATGAATATACCATACATGCACTAATAACCCATGTACAAAAAAATGAAAACATTGATGGACGTATACAAGTAAAATATCGACACAAAATTTCAATGTGAACCCACCCTAAAAGTGGGGTGGGTTCCCAAATATTACATAAAAGGTCTTGTAAGTAGTGAGTGTGACTGTTAGTCGTAATCCAAATAAATATTTTTGCTCATTCAACATTCATTGTGTAGCTGAATGCAGCTGAATCAGCATTTGAAATGACAAGAGTTCTGTCATCTGCAAACAATTGTTTAAGTTCCTGTCAAGCATTAGGAAGATAAGTGATGTTTATAAAGAATAGCAAAGTGCCCATGACACTACCTTTTGGAACCCCTATGTTGATCAATTGAGTTGGTGTCTGTCTGTTTCCATAATGTTCTAATGAGAGCAGAATGTTGTGGTTTACTGTATCTTACCATATAAACCATAAAAGAAGTGTTGTCCATTTTAGATCTTGTACTAATAAATCCTTTATTTGTCCACGGTTCATCTGGGCAACATCATCAACAATGAGACGTCCCAACAGCATTGGTTTTCCTGTAAATCAAAGATTTTTTATATTTATCATTTTTTATTATGTTCTGTTACTGTATTATACTTTAAATTTTTTTTTTCAACACATCAGCGTTTTTCCCACCACATAAAGCATTGTAAACTAAAATTCCCAAAGAGATAAAGTTAACAATCGGAAAATCAAAAAACATTAAGGAGATAGCTTGAGACTTCATAAATATAGTGACCATGTTACAAGACACTCAAGAGAGTTAAGACTGGGCTTAGGGCACCTTACACAAATAACCTGCACATAGGAGAGAGGAACTTGTGATGATGTTTTGGTCAACTTGAACCATTTACAAAGTGACTTTGTAAATGGTTCGAGCCGGACTGAAACGTCATCGTAAGCTTCTCTCTTCTATATGCGGGTTATCTGTGTGCTGTTCCAGTCACAGTGTTGAGCTTTTTTGTTATTTAGGGCACCTGTTAGAATATAATCTATGAAGTACAGTATGTCCTGATATCCTAATGTCACGTACATAATATTTCCTACTAATTTTATATAAAAATTTGTAGTGGAATCAAGTTCATGGGGTACCTTGTGGCTGGATGAGTCACTAAATAATAATACACATACAGAGCCCCCCAGAGAAAACAAGGGGGTATCAAAGAGTGGTGTTGACAGATCAGAATTCTTTTAAAAGGGATGTAAATTACATACATGTTCACCACCTCAGATTGGTGGTAACTGCATGACAACAGGTTGATCAAAAAACACTGTCATTCAATTTAATCAAATCTTTCATACAGTGATAGATAAAGTGGATCTTCTTTCTTATTGGGTATGACATAAATTGACAGTTAATACCTACCCTCTTATCTATTCCAAAATTTTTAAATAAAAATAGACAAAGATTTAAAACAGCTGTCTATGAACCTAAGAAAGAATTATAAGTTAAATTTAAAACAAGTAAAGCAGGTCCCATTTATGACCCTAATACATTACTGAAGAAGGGGTGTTAATGTTGCAGTTTTATAACTGTAGTGTAAGTGCACCTCTGGCAAGACGGTAGAGGAATGAATGATGGTGAAAGTTTTTCTTTTTGGGGCCACCCTGCCTTAGTGGGAGACGGCTAATGTGTTAATAAAATAAAAAATAACATTACTGAAAATAATAATTTTTTTTTTTAACAAGTTGGCCATCTCCCACCAAAGCAGGGTGACCCAAAAAGAAAGAAAATCCCCCCAAAAAATACTTTCATCATCATTCAACACATTCACCTCACCCATACATAATCACTGTTTTTGCAGAGGCACCCAGATATAACAGTTTAGAAGCATAAATAAAGATACAATAAAAAAAAGTAACCTGAAATAATGTAATAAACTCCTTTATAAAATATAATCAGGGCCCCAAATTTTTATATATTCTGTTCTACTATACATCCCTCCAAACTGCCAATATCCCAAACCCTCCATTAAAGTGCAGGCACTGTACTTCCCATTTCAAGAACTCAAGTCCGGTTATAAAAAAAAATGCCCGGTTTCCCTTAATCCCTTCACTAAAAAAATAATATTATTATGTTGATGAAGATGGGGAAGCTGTGATTTCGTGTATAGAGCAAGGAGGAAAAACCCATCTTGTAGGAGTGAGGAAGAGCCAGTTGTGAGTGTGGGGGAAGTTCGTGAGGCAGTAGGTAAAATGAAAGGGGGTAAGGCAGCCGGGATTGATGGGATAAAGACAGAAATGTTAAAAGCAGGTGGGGAATATATTTTTTGGAGTGGTTGGTGCAATTATTTAATAAATGTATGGAAGAGGGAAAGGTACCTAGGGATTGGCAGAGACCATGCATAGTTCCTTTGTATAAAGGCAAAGGGGATAAAAGAGAGTGATAAGATAAGATAAGTCTGTTGAGTATACCTGGTAAAGTGTATGGTAGAGTTATTATTGAAAGAATTAAGAGTAAGACAGAGAATGGGATAGCTGATGAAAAAGGGAGGCTTTAGGAAAAGGGTTAGGGGGTGTGTGGACCAGGTGTTTACAGTGAAACATATAAGTGAACAGTATTTAGATAGGCTAAAGAGGTTTGGGGAAATTTATGGATTTGGAAAAGGCGTTATAGACAGGGTGGATAGGGGGGCAATGTGGCAGATGTTGCAAGTGTATGGTGTAGGAGGTAGGTTACTGAAAGCAGTGAAGAGTTTTTACGAGGATAGTGAGGCTCAAGTTAGAGAATGTAGGAAAGAGAGAAATTATTTCCCAGTAAAAGTAGGCCTTAGACAAGGATGTGTGATGTCACCGTGGTTGTTTAATATATTTATAGATGGGGTTGTAAGAGAAGTAAATGCGAGGGTCTTGGCAAGAGGCGTAGAGTTAAAAGATAAAGAATCACACATAAAGTAGGAGTTGTCACAGTTGCTCTTTGCTGATGACACTGTGCTCTTGGGAGATTCTGAAGAGAAGTTGCAGAGCCTTCTGTTATGCAATACTGTAATAATTGTATAAATATCATCACCATATTTGTGAATGTATATTAGACCCACCAGCTGACGTGTATTAGACGTGTGAGTCGTTTTGTTTACTCTTGAATATCGGCAAAAATTTAACATTTCCACTACTTTGAGCTCAGTTTCAAGCCATTTCCAGTGCTAAAACCAATGAAAATCATCTCTATTTCTGTAATATGTCTTCCATTCTATCAAATGAGACCAAGAAATCGCAAATACAACTATAAAAAACATACGAAAAAACACTGCAAAGTTGCTGTTTTAATCGAAAAATCGTGATTTCAGTTTTTTTCTCTCATTAAACACAGTGTGCTGCAGGATCTGTTTTATGTGGTGTACACATACCACATAGATGTATTCTCTCATATCTAGGCCCAAATGTACCACTCATAGTTTATCAGAGTGAGCTGAGCTCATGGCGTAGATCTATGGTTTGGACACTCACCGTAAAGCCGTAGATCTACGGGACAGACCCTGAAAGGGTTAACCATAGAAATGAAGAAGGGAAAAACATGGGTACTACATTAAGGCACCTGTGGAGACAAGAACTTTATCCATGGAGTCATAATGGAAAATGTACCAAAGTGGTACCAAAATTGTTTTATGGATGTGAAACATGAGTTTTGAATGTTGTAGAGAAGGCTGAAGGCAGTAGAGATGTCATGGTTGTGGTGTGAATATTATGCAGAGAATTCAGAATTTGGAGATTAGGTGGAGTGAAGTTACCAAAAGTATTATTCAGAGGGCTTGGTATTTAGAGATGATGGAGAAAAAGAGGATGGCATATAAACCTGGGTGGATGGAAGGAGGGCTATGGGGTTATCCAAGTTAAGGATGGAAAAAGAGGGAACAGGAGGTTAAAATGCTAGGGGCTAGGACATCCTAAACAACACATATGTAGTCTTTTCTTCTAATACTCTTGGTAACCCTCAGTTACCAACCAAACAAAATTACCAAGCTCTTACCAGAAAAGCAAACACGGGTCAAGTGTCCCTTGCCTCATGTTCAAGAGATGTGTCAGTTGTAAATCCCCAATACAGTGGACCCCCGGTTTACGAAATTATTTCATTCCAGAAGTATGTTCAGGTGCCAGTACTGACCGAATTTGTTCCCATAGGGAATATTGTGAATTAGATTAGTCCATTTCAGACCCACAAACATACACATACAAACGCACTTACATAAATACACTTACATAATTGGTCGCATTGGGAGCTGATCGTAAACCGGGGGTCCACCGTATTCTTAAATTATTTTTTTTTTATTATCACACTGGACGATTCCCACCAAGGCAGGGTGGCCCGAAAAAGAAAAACTTTCACCATCATTCACTCCATCACTGTCTTGCCAGAAGGGTGCTTTACACTACAGTTTTTAAACTGCAACATTAACACCCCTCCTTCAGAGTGCAGGCACTGTACTTCCCATCTCCAGGACTCAAGTCCGGCCTGCCGGTTTCCCTGAATCCCTTCATAAATGTTACTTTGCTCACACTCCAACAGCATGTCCCAAATATTAAAAAAACCCTTTGTCTCCATTCACTCCTATCAAACACGCTCATGCATGCCTGCTGGAAGTCCAAGCCCCTCGCACACAAAACCTCCTTTACCCCCTCCCCTCTAACCTTTCCTAGGCCGACCCCTCCCCCGCCTTCCTTCCACTACAGACTGATACACTCTTGAAGTCAATCTGTTTCGCTCCATTCTCTCTACATGTCCGAACCACCCCAACAACCCTTCCTCAGCCCTCTGGACAACAGTTTTGGTAATCCCGCACCTCCTCCTAACTTCCAAACTACGAATTCTCTGCATTATATTCACACCACACATTGCCCTCAGACATGACATCTCCACTGCCTCCAGCCTTCTCCTCGCTGCAACATTCATCACCCACGCTTCACACCCATATAAGAGCGTTGGTAAAACTATACTCTCATACATTCCCCTCTTTGCCTCCAAGGACAAAGTTCTTTGTCTCCACAGACTCCTAAGTGCACCACTCACTCTTTTTCCCTCATCAATTCTATGATTCATCTCATCTTTCATAGACCCATCCGCTGACACGTCCACTTCCCCAAAAATCTGAATACGTTCACCTCCTCCATACCCCTCTCCCTCCAATCTGATATCCAATCTTTCATCACCTAATCTTTTTGTTATCCTCATAACCTTACTCTTTCCTGTATTCACCTTTAATTTTCATCCACCAATCTCTGCAACTTCTCTTCAGAATCTCCCAAGAGCACAGTGTCATCAGCAAAGAGCACTGTGACAACTCCCCCTTTGTTTTGGATTCTTTTCTTTTT